TGTCAGCTGCTTGCGTAAATTTCTTACTTTGCGAAACTTCAGTTTCTTTTATATCCTTGAAATCTTCACAAGGAATCTATCTATTGTAATTTTGGGAACTTGGATCGGTATTGCATATAGCATCGTGATAACCCATATTAGCAGCTTTTTGATAATATTTGAATGCCTTATGTTCGTCTTTTCTAACTCCAATACGGTCGTCTTTTTCGACTCCAATTCGTTCGTCTTTTTCAACTCCAATTCGTTCATTTCTTTTAGTTCCATTTTGTTCGTCTTTTTCAATTCTATTTTGTTCGTCTTTTTCGACTCCAATTCGTTTATTTTTCTTGATCCCAATTCCATCATCAGTATCTTTTAAATACTGTTTAAATGCTACCTTTTCATTCTTGATTTTATCTATATCTTCATCGTAGCATTGTCCAGTACTTTGTTGTCCAGGTGAATCATCATTTTTAGCCGATTTTGAATACCAATTAGAAACTTCGTTTCTATTACTTACTAATCTACTTTTCTCTTTTTTTGGATTTTTTTCTTCAGATTCACATTTATTACTTTCAAGGTTTAAAAGGACTATCGGGGTGTTCTTGCAAGGGCTATCTACTGGTACTGGGCTTTCTTTATTCCTCTTATTCAGTTTACTTTCTTCTTTGAGCATGTTATCCACAAATTCTAATATAAATTCCAGGGCCCCAGGAATCTGCTCAGCATCGAGGGCGTATCCAAAATTTGCATCTATCATTTCTTGGACCTCCTGAAGTTGCTCTTTAGTAAGTGTTGTAAGAAGCCTGGTACACTTTAGATCTAACCTTCTGACCGCTGGGCACATGGATACGATGTGTCCTCTTCTATTGCAATAGGGACATTGGGACTTCTCTTGAAAGGACTTTGGTGTCAGTTCGTAATTTCTGCATTTCTTCTGGACTTGCTGTCGTCGAATCACTTTCGTTTTGGTTTCGTACTGCCTCCAGTTTCAGTTAGATATCATCAGCTAGTATATTTCATATATTATTAATTTTATTTTATTTTATATATTTATTTTTATTATTTTATTTTATTTTATTTTATTATTATTATTTTTTTTTTAAACGTTCTTTACTTTCTCTTGGTTTGCCAGGACACCGGAACCTGGGCTGGATTGGGGCCGGATTTTTCTTTTTCAGCCGGGTACGAAGTTCGGTTTATGCTGTAATTTTTTTTTTTTTTTTTTTTTGAAAGAAAAAAAAAAATTCCTTGGCTAATTAATGCTACGTCTATTTGTTGGTCCTTCTGACTCTTTTCGTCACACTATTTTTAACTTCAATTTTTGAGTTTATGCGTCGATCTACTAAAGTCTGTCACTTCGATGATTTTTCCAATTTTAATTTAAAGTTTATGTGTCGATCCCTATGACTAAAGTCTGTCACTTAGATAAATTTTCTGTTTTACTAATCTGTCTTCAAAAAAATTTTTATTTTCACTAATTTATCTATTTAAACTTCGGCTTTAACTTTTCCCTTCTTTGCTTCGGCTTTGTCTTTAAGCTATGCTTCGACTTTGCCTTTTTACTATACTAGTCGTGTCCCTAAAGTGTTCTTTAACTACTTCGTGATCTGTTACTTTGTTTCTTTAGTGCCTTCTCCCCAATATTCGTTCCTCCTATATTTTCCTTGTATCGGGGGGTAGTTACGCTTCGACGTTCGTATCTCAGAAGTCACCACCAAATGTTAGGGGCGGAAACGGCGAGTCTGTCGCTAGAAGACCAGAATTCTCGCGCTACGTCGTTTTCAAGGCTTGAATAGAGGCGT